CTGCTCGGGCAGGGAATGGCCTCTTAGGAGAACCCTGGACTCCATCTAATAAGGAGTATGTAAAGGAGCATAGTACCCCCATAGCCTTGCAGAAGAGAATGTTGCTATATGCACCAATCTCCATCAGGTACCAGAAGCAGACATGCTAGCATGATTTTTTTTCATTTCAAGTGATTTCAGTCTTCCAGGAGAGCCCTCAATGGTTTTCTAACAAGAAAAGTTTACCTAAGGGGAAGTAAAAAACGGAAGTGTTGAGGAAAGCATTCCAAGAGTTGACTAAAAGGTAAATGGGCAAAGTAGCATTAGAAAGGAACTAAGACAAGGGAAGGGGTCAATAAAATATGTTGCAGGAGGAACAGTTTTGGGGCCAATGTGATTTGATGTTTTCAAGAATTGTATTTTCACACAAAAAAAGCCTTGATCTGATGAAGAAATTTTCAGATGACAAAGTTTTGGAGAACTTCATCAAGACAGATGAGATATAGGCCATAATCCGGAGGAAGCACAGAAAATAAACAAATACATTTGAGATTAAGTATCAGTTCTATTGTTAGAACTCCACAACTTAAATGGAAAAAAATAGTAGCAAGTGGTATAAACACAGCTGTTAAGGCGATTGCACTCATCTCAGGCATTTCATTCCCTGCCTCTCTTTGCAGCTTGAGAACAAAATCAGCTTTGAAAAACTTACAGAGTGGACCAGTCCCAATGTGATGGAAAAGAAGAGAGTGAAAGTGTACCTCCCACGCATGAAGATTGAGGAAAGATATAACCTCACGTCTGTCTTAATGGCCTTGGGTATGACCGACCTGTTCAGCCCTTCGGCCAATCTGTCTGGCATCTCTTCAGCAGAGAGCCTGAAGATATCTGAGGCCATCCATGAGGCGTACATGGAAGTCAATGAAGAGGGCACCGAGATGGCAGGCTCAGTGGGTGTCATGGGAGACATCAAACATTCTTCTGCCTTTGAAGAATTCAGGGCTGACCACCCTTTCCTTTTCTTGATCAAACACAATCCAACCAACAGCATCCTCTTCTTTGGTAGATATTGTTCCCCCTAAAGAAAGAAAGAGCTGGAAAAAATGCTTGCCTTCCCCTCAGAAACAGACACCCTTTACTGTAGTATTGTAGTATAACCTCCTCTTTTCAATATTTTCTCCAAGTGGAAAGCCTTCAATTCCTAGGGAGATATTCTTGAACAAGCATGTGACTTTTCAGATCTTTAGATGCAGGTATTTCTGCTCACACAAATTTTATTCAGGACCTATATCCAGGTTTGAATGAGAATTTCAGGAGGTAGCTTAGGAATATTTCCCATTGTCACTGAATAACTCGAGAGACAGGGCCAGTGTTTTCATTTTTGTGAGAAACCCTGCCACTGCTATTGAGAATCTGGTTTCTCTATAGGAGTTCTGTGAAATAAACACAGCTTTCAGAATAATCCTCTTCCTTTCTGTTGAACTTGCTGGGAAACCATCCTTGAATTGGTGCCCGGACAACTTGCAGATGAAATTCTAAACTTCAGCAAAGCATTCTTCTTCCAGGAATGCATTTGGGCTTCTTTGTGCTGCACGTACTATAAGGCTGTGTCTCTCATTCTGAGGGAGCATACAGCAAGTCTACCATTTCTTCATAAATCATCATCTCCAAATACAACATCTTCCTGACTGATATAATTTTGCATCTTCATTCCAGTGATAAATGATTGATTTTGTGAATGTTAATTGGTGGTCCTTCTATTTATTCTAATAAAAGCATTGCAAACTAAACATGTAATTACCTATTCTGGGTTACTGCACCACACAACCTGAAACATATGACATAGTAGGCAGTGATTATCAACAGAAGTGGTTCAGACTAGGATTTAGATCCTGCTTTCAAAACCAGAATGTACCCATATATGAAGTCACTAAACAGCTTAAGATTTTTTTTTTTTTTTTTGAGCTTAAGCAAGGTAAACCCTACAGGTCCTATTCTTACCTGGAGCTTATCTCCGTATGGCATATCAAATAACTAAATATTTTTAATTTGCTATTGTATTTCCAGATAGTTTTAAAAGATTTCCTCTAAATGTCCTCAGTAAATATATCAAAGTGACGCCTAAGAGACACAACTTCAAAATCACGAGAAGAGTGTTTGTCTTAAAACGTGGACTGCTTCAGCTCTCTAATACCCACAAGAATCATACGACAAAATCTTTCTTATTGCCTTTTGATGTAATAATCCTCTAGAGATGTTATTGCCTATTTCACAGTCTTTAGAGGGAAGGTTCTTTAAGTTACAGTTTATACAATTAAAAAGAAGATTACTAGTGTTAATTGCTGAGTTAAGCAATACTCCTTCTGCTGGGATACACATGCAGAACTGCAAATTACAGTATCAGTACTTAAAAAGTGCTTAGAAAAGGAGACGTGGTGGTATTTGGAGCTGCCTCAGCCATTTGCAAAGTCAGCATTAAATATAACTTGAAATAATGATGCTGGCAGCAGGGAAACACATTTTCAGAGCTGCTACGAAGTCTATGAGAGAACTTCAAATACTGGTCTTCCCAAGACAGTCACAAAGGATTAGCTATGGTTAACACAAGTATTCAAGCAAAAAAGTATTTCAAGAGCTAGGACATTTCAAGGTTTACTGTGTACGTTATGTTCTGCTTCCCTTACAGCCAAAAGTAGTCAACAGAGTTTTGCTGCAACTAAAAAAAAAAAGAAAAAGGCAGGATTTGTAAAATCCTAAGGATCTGTCCTAAGGAGCAGAGTGTGTAAGGTTATTAAACAATTTAAAAACTGTTATTAAACTGAAATAAGCAGGTCTGTCACTCTGCACTTTCTGAGTACAATGACAATAAAACTATCAACATTTATTATGGAAGCATTTATTACATAACATGAAGAAAAAATAGCTATTCTCTTGTTTAATCTTTCTTTTGCTTGATGATTATTTTAAAGCAAAGAAATGTAGAAAATTAAGGCTGAAATGCTGTCTTCCTAAAACTATACATGAGAGAGGTTTTCAAGGCACGGAGTCCACCTAATGTTCTCACTGTGAAACAGAACTGACTCCTTTTAAATTGGGCCATTAGGTGTCACTAGGGATACGAAGTGATGTCAATCAGTCTTCTGACAGACAGACATCTGTTGAAAACTAGGTTTGGCAGCTTAATGTAGGTTCCAATTTTGTTCTTGTTTTATTTGTTGTGGAAGCAGATGATTCTGATCAATATACTGAAGTGGCACTGTGCTTGGAATCCAGTAATTTTTTAAGAAAAAGACAGAAATATTTGGTGAAAGTCCAGAGGCATTTTAAGATGTCTGCGTCCTGAATGAAAAAATAATAGCACAGTCAAATACTATAGAAGGGCTAGAGCTATTTGGTTTATGAAGGAGAATATGTCCTCTGTAGAGGTTAAAATGAGAGGTAAAAGTTCAGATTCAGCAAAATTTAATAAAGTCTGTACTCTGTATCAATGGTTGGGTCCAGAACAGTGCCTGTGCATTGCTGGTCTGGGCGAGCAGGACCTGCTATAAAGGCACTGCCATGGTGAATGGGGCTGCTGCAGCCCCCATTGGAAGAAAACGCTGCCTGCTGCTTCTGAGTTCTGAAGTCCAGCAAGAGTTTAAGTACATGAATCCCACTTCCCATGAAGTCTAGGTATTGTCCAATAGTCCTTTTTGTTCCCTGACAGCGTGACTGAAGTTGGCATGTCAATAAATTGCCGTCTGTCCAGCCGCTACCCTCCATTTTCACTACGTGCTGTGGTGTTTTGGATACACAGTACTGCTAGGGGTCCGTGGAACAAAAACAGCCACATGCAATCACATTCTTTTTAATGCTGCACAGGACAGCATTAGAAGTGCTTTGTGGACTAAGTATGCCTTTGTTTCTCATGTAATTTGGGGAAGGGTTGCAGCTGACATATCTTCTCTGCCCTTTGAGCAATATAATTGTCTGAGATCATTCCACACTTCTCTGCACATCTGACTTGTAAGAAAGGCCCACCTTCTCCTAAGCAAACCAAATCCCTGGCTGAAGGCACAAGACTTTGCAAGCAGTATGCTCTAACCATAGTCACCAGAGGAAGAATGCATAGAGACCCTCCTGGACTCTAGGGGAAAAGCCGTCCTGGGCTCCCAAATGATATTTGAGAAAGCACAGCATGCTGAAGCAAACTGAAAGCTACAGATCCACTGGGAAGACTTTGACAGAGAGCAGTGGTTCATTTTGCCAATTCTCGTGGCTAGCGAGCTAAGATTGTTCAATCTGGAAAAGGGACAGCAGAGAAGGGATTGTCAAGGAGCGTGAAGAGTGAGGCTGCTCCGCAAGGGAAGGGGACCCAGGGCAGCAGGTGACAGCAAGGCCAGCAGGGCAGGGGCCCCCCTGATAAGGCGTTCAGTGCTGCAGTCCCCAGTGCTACTGCCACAGTCCAGTGATTCCCAAACAAGTCTGTAGCGATGAGGTAGGTCTAATATCAAGCTTGGAGGTTAAGTCCATGGGTTAGGGACTGTAGTGGTCCCAACTTGAAGAGTGTTGTACATTGAGGAGTTAGTAACCCACATAAAATTTGACCTGATCAGGCACAGGTGTGTGCTGTGCTACGTTATGTTGTATGTATCACTTGGCCTCCAGGTCTATACTGTCCTGAATGTATCATGTGGCTGCAAGGATGAACTTAGTCTGCTAACCATAATGGAGGAGCTTGTAGATGGCTCCAGACTGGAATATGGTGACAATGCTGACAGCACATCCTTGTCTTTATCTTGAAGTGAAGCAGCGTGTTTCTATATAAATATACTTTTCTTCAACAGTAGAAATGATAAACAGAGTTTACTTCTAAGAACATACCTATAAAAGCTGTAAAGATCACACCACCAGTGGACCTCTGCATGCATGGGATATGCACAGTGTGCTGTGCCCTGAATAAAGATCCATCCAATGCTGCATAGCTTGGGGTTCACATCATCAGAAGGGACATGAAATTATCTATGCTATCTCCTTTTTCCCCCTCATGTTATCTCCAATAAATTGCATTTTAATTAGTTTCTTACTAGTGTCCAAAACGAACACTTGCAGTGGTGCGTTACAGGGTCCAGCTCGGTGAGGTTCATGGCCAGACATAGGCATGCAAGGTAGCAAGGACCACAATCAAAAGGCTCAGTTTAAATGCATCTCTCAAGTGATGGGGATGTAGATCCCCATGGAGGCATCTCACAGCTCTATCACAAACAGCACTCTAATTCAAGACCGGACAGTTGCTTCAGATGTGCCTGAGCCCAGGCAGCCAAGCACCTAGGAGAGAGATGATGTTCTCAAGAGCAGAGGTTTTTGAAGTCCTGGATGATATGGAGACAATGACAGAGATTGACTATTCAGTATCTCTTCTGACACAGGAACTTATGGTTATTAAAAGAAGTTAGTAGAAATCGGTTAGATAAAAACACATAGAGGTAGCTGACAACAAACAGGTAGCTGAATGATGGACCTCATGGTCAAAGGATTCTGGAGGTGATAAAATTTTACATTATTTTAAAAGAAGACTTGACAAAACCATGGAAGAGAAATCCATTGTCAGGTAATATATATGTAGAAAATACTAGCAGCTATTGAAGTCCCAGGACTGAAAACAGCCGATGTTGGGACTCTGATGGCATGACAAGCCTCAGCAGGAGCCTTCCCCCACACCCTCTGCACATGGGCCCAGGCGCCTGTATTGGGCACTGGCACCATTTTTGTACTAGGGGTGATCTTTGTTAGAGGAGGACATGAACTGTCCTCGTCCAGTCACAGCCAGTTGCAGCTGTCCCTGAAATCAGTGGAAAGAACTCATTGTACACCAAATCTTCAGACAGTCAGAGGAGCATATGGCACGTCTGCTCAAGCATAATTAAGAAAGGCTGGCAGGAGAAATGCGAAAGATGTGTTTGGGGAAACAAAACAGAGGAGACATGTGAAAGGAGATGTTATTGAGACTACAGATACAGGCACACTCTTCAGAGGAGGTGCTGCATGCCAGAGGAGGCATCTCTGAGGGACTGCAGCCACAGCCAGGGCAGTGACACCCCAG